TATGGGCTTTCACAGCAATGGTGAAGAGAAATTCATAAACCTGTTACAAAGCTTTGCTTTTATGGCTGTAAACCCAACTGTAAAGATACCAAAATGTATACTGATTCCAGATCCCTCTTTGTGGGCAGGTGAAGTGATAAAGCATGGTGACCTAAAATGTATCCTTAATGAAGGGATGCCTATCTACAAGTCTCCACTGGACAAAGGTTATTTAATTATACAGTTTATGGTAAGTTCACTGCTTCTTATTCACCTTCATATTTAATGGAATATTTAAGGCAAGGAATTACTTACAGGGAAAACATTTTTATTTGTAGGTCACGTTTCCAGAGCATCAGTGGCTTCCCAGGGAGAAACTGCCTATATTGGAAGCTTTGCTTCCTCCACGAGACGAAGTCATGATTACAGAAGACATGGATCAGGTAGAACTTACAGAGTTTGATCCAAAAGAGCAAACTTGCCGTAATAGTAGAGAAGTATATGAAGAAGATGAAGGCCCCAGAACAGGAGTGCAATGCCAGACCTCTTAAAATGAAATGGAATGGATGAGTCATCTGGAAAGTAAATTTTCACAATGAAAACTGCATGGCTTTAATAGCCACTACCTCTTTTTTTGTCTTCAGCAAATTGAGTTGCTGTGTTGTCCATATGTTTGTAACCAATTCATATTTAAGTATTCATAGTCTTTATATGTAACTTAGCATTTTCTAGTTATGCAGCTGAGAAAATTGACTGTGCATATCTAAGTTGCTATAAAGGTCCACAGCTTTAGTGAAGTACCACTCAAGAAGCAGAGTGACTTCAACAGTACTATTTATGTCAGACTCTTGCAATACCAGCTTAGTGTCTTCTGTAAATATTTTTTCATATGGTAAAGTTAGTTTGTTTCCTACAATAAAAACATCTTCGGTCCAAGCAGAAATCTATCTGAAAAGTACAATCTTATGCTCCTTTCATCATTAAGCCTGTTATAAGAGTCTATAAATGTTTGTTCCGTATGCCAGCCCAGAACCAAATGTTGAGCTGAGGCTGTCTTTGTCCAGCAGCCAATCTCAGAACTAAGTCTCTCCCTCTGTTGCTATGCGGTTCAGGCTAGGGCTTTAAGGTTTAGTTTAAATAAGCCATTAGACTGTTTAGTATAATACTATTTTTCTACCTCCTCAGCAATTTCCAGAAGTATAATGGATTCTGGGCAAACATACTGCTACACAAAACAAGCTTTTCGTTAATCATTTACTTGAGCACCAGCTTGGTCTGCCTGTCTTACCACCTACCCATAAGTATGGTTGAGTAGCAAAAACTCAAATAGGATAAGGCATAGTATGTCTAAAAGTTAGTCTACTAGGAAAAACTTTTTACTAATATAATTCCTTGTGATGAATACACTTTGTCTGGTAAGTGATGTCAGTTTAGCTGAAACACTTTACAAAGTGATGAGCTAAATTGGAAAAAAAAGAGTACTTCCACCAGAATAAGTACCCACAGGGGGCATTATAGCCAGAACTCAGCTTTCTCTTTTCCACAAACCAAGTACAAGACCCTACTTCCTCCACTCTCCTGCCTCAAACAGTGAGTCGAGGCCCTGAGACATCCCCGAATCCCCTCTGTAATTCACAGTACCTTTAGAGGGAGTGGAGAAATTAGGTTTATCTGTTACTTGCACTAACAGGCCAAGGGAACTTAGGTGCTGTATTTTCAATAGGTACCTATTTTTTTTCTCCCCATACTGTCAAATTTATTCTTCCACCTTAAGATCTGTTCTCCTCTTCCTTTAGTCTGTAGAGTAACTATAGTAGCCTGCCTGGCATAGTGATCTCTTTAGATTTTATTCCAGCACCAAGTTAAAATAATAACTAACTGTAAAATGTTAGTGTTACTGTGCCAGGCTCAGGTAGCAGATGTTTCCCTATCCTGTGTTTTAGGTCCTTCCTTAGCTCAGTGACTCTCTCAAAGCTAGGACTGTTTCCGATTACAGCAGTCTATAGTAAAGTAGTAGTTTTCTGAAGGGGGAAATCATATCAAAAATCCCTATTCAGAATCCCTTGGTTCTAAAAGCCCAGACTGTATTCAGATTAAATGCACAGGGGCTATCAGCACTTGTCAGTTATATTTCTAGAAGTAGTAGAGACTGTTCATACTCACTGTAACTACAATCCATTAGCAGTTTGTAGCCACATGAGAGCTCTATTGTCTAAATCAGTGTAGGATTTATGTGCTACTGCTGAATGGAAAAGTGGATGCTTCCTGTAGCTGAGCTTTTCAAATTTCATTGATGTGCAGTAGTAAATTAACAGCAATGTGCAGTGCCTCATACATAATTTTACAAGCACAGAATGACACCAGTCAGGCTTAAGTTCAAAGTAGCTAGCTGTTTTTATTTATGCAGCTGATAGGGCTTGTGTTTTTAGTACTATACAGCTCGGTCCAAGGGTATTTGTATAGAGAATTAGCAAGACCCGAGGTGGCACTAGAGGTCACCATACAGCTGCTGTTTACATAAAAGCATGTGGCCAGTGATGAGCTGCCAAAATTTTAACAAACTGTTCCCTATAAAAAGTTCTGATTTAAGGGATGTTCCACAGTATGTATTTTTTGTACCAATAGGGTTACCATACGTACATATTTTCCTGGGAGGCGATTTAAGACCCAAAAAGCCTGACATGTCTGGGAAAATACGGATGTATGTTAACTCTACCTAAAGTTCTTTTTTAAAAAGATGGGCCTGATCTAGAAATGAGCTCCGTTTCACATGTGTGGGTCTCTGTCACTCCCTGGGGGTGTGCTAGGGTGACCAGATGTCCTGATTTTTGGGTCTTTTTCTTATATAGGCTCCTATTACCCCCCACCCCCTGTCCCGATTTTTCACACTTGCTGTGTGGTCACCCTAGGGTATGCACATGTGCGGGTCCCAGCTGCTCCCTGCCCCCTTCATTGAAGCAGGTGTTTAGGGTTACTGCCCTGGGAACTGCAGGGCACTAGTGGACCTGGGGCCGGCTGCAGACGGGTGTGGGGCAGGGCTAGCTCGAGGCAGGGGGTGCGGGGCTGGCTGCGGGCAGGGCAGGGGCTGGCTGGCTTTGGGCAGGGGTTGGCAGGGCTGGAGACAGAGGAGTGCGGGGCTGGCTGGCTTTGGGCAGGGCTGCAGGGGTTGGCTGCAGACAGAGGAGTGCAGGGGGGGCACGGCAGGGCTGCAGACAGACGAGTGTGGGGCTGGCTTTGGGCAAGGGGGTGCAGCAGGGGTTGGGAGCCTGCAGGTAGGGTGGCAGATACTCATGGGGAGAGCGGCTCAGAACAGCCCGAGCAGCAGGATGATTCCAGGCCCAGTAGAGCAGCCGGGGACCCACCAGGCAGCAGCAGGAGGCCCAGGGCCAGAGGTCCAAGGAGCAGCAGCGGCAGCAACAGGGCCAGGCAGCAACCCAATGGCTCCTGCAGCACAGCGCCCCCTGGCAGCCAGAGGAGAAATTACACACTTCCCAGCCAGAGCCCATCAAAGCTGCAGCACCCCCCACTGCAGGGAAGCCGGTTAACAAGCAGTTCTAAAACGGCTTCAAAATTTAACAACCACTTCGTGCAAACCGGCTCCAGCTCACCACTACTTATGGCCATAAGCCAGTGTGATATAAAAAGGCAACCCCTTGTACACAATTTGATTTAGTTTCTGTATAATAACCCCCTACTCCGTTCTATTTACCTGCCTTTTCCACTAAAGGAATTCCTAGCTTCAGACAAGACAAGAGCTGATCTTACATAAGACTTCCGCCTGCAGAATAAAGACTTGAACCTTCAGCTCTTGCTTGCAGTAAGACACGTGGGCAAACTACAGCCTGTGGGCCAGATGCAGCCTGCCAGCTGTCTTAAGCCAGCCCTCGAGCTCCCACTGGGAAGTGGTGTCTCAGGCTTGCCCTGCTCCAGCACTTGAGCAGGGTGGGGGCCACTCCACATGGCTGCCAGAAGCAGCTGCATGGACCCCCACTCCAGGGTACAGGGCCAGGGTCTGCACCATACAGCTCCTGGAAGCAGCCACATGGCTCCACTCTAGCACTCCAGCTGGGGAGCAGGGTCGGGGCCACTCCACGCAGCTCCCAGAAGCTGTGGCATGGCCACGCTCTGGCTCATAGGTGCTCCAATGGCTCCCTCTGGCACTCCAATGGGAGCTGCAGGGGCAGTGCCTGTGGACGGGGCAGCATGCAGAGCCACCTGGCCACACCTCCACATAAGAGCCAGAGAAGGGACATGCTGCTGCTTTCTGAGAGCCACTTGAGGTAAGCGCTGCCTGGAACCTGCATCCCAGAGCCCCCTTCCGCACTCTGAACTCATTTCTGGTCCCACACCAGCGCCTGTACCCCCAACCAGTGCCCTCACCCCCTCCCGCACAACCCCAATTTTGTGAGCATTCATGGCCCACCATACAATTTCTATTCCCAGATGTAGCCCTCGGGTCAAAAAGTTTGCCCACCCCTACAGTAGGAAGAGGAGGAAAAAAAAGTCAGTCCATTGACCACAGAGTGCCATACTTTGCTTGTAAATACTTGTCTACCACTACATGAAGCACACCATAACTTTTACTTTTGGCCCACTTTATAATTAAGTAGCTGTCTTACACATTTGGGATAGCCTATGCCTGTAACATGAACTGTAAGCAGGCTGCTACTTATTAGACTACACAGGATAGATGCTACACTTAAACTTATACCTAATCCTGCAATAGAGCTAGGAACAGGGTTTTTACATGGAGGTGGGGGAGAAGAATAACATTTGTAGAACGCAAATTATGGAAGTTATTTTACTGTAAAGATTTTGACACTCACAGCATTAGTGTCAATGCAATGGTCAATGATTAAACTTAGCAGGGACACTGAGACATGGTCTTACATACTGCCTGGAACTGTTAGAGCATCTCACCTTTAAATGTTTATTAGTATTTCCTCAAACTGGTAGTTAGCACACAGGATATGACCATACATATTTCTCCTTGTCTAGAAGATATAAGATAGGGGAAAGTGTGAAATTAAGCTTTTATCTTATAGAAGTAGCAAATGGTAGCATCAACCTTAGAAAGCAAGAAATGGTACACTTTGTATACAACTGTTCTGCATTGAGATAGAATTGAAAAAACTCTAGTAAAACCTAAAGCAGGAGGGAAATTTGAAGCTGAAATAATCCAGAGGTTCTGCATCAATGGCTTACCTACCATATGCCCTACAATGAGACTGTATTTAAAGAGCTCCCTGAAACAGGTCATCTAAGCAGTGACATGAAAGGAAACTTCCCCTCCACAGCTTGCTTTGGTTTTATGGATTTAAAAAAAAAATGTTGAATTTTAACTGGAACACTGAGGAAATATTTTTCCATGTATCACATTGAATTCCCCACCCCGCAAGAATCAGTTCACAGTCAGGACACCAGGCTAGGAAATGGGTTAAAATGTTTACAGCTAATACACATCCAGTAAAGAGAGAATCTAAACTTAAGTTTGGGGTGTTTTGGTTTTTTTTTAATTTAAAGTTGATACACCATGACTAGTGAACCATGTGCCTTGAGCACAGGTGCTAGAGTATGTTCAACTTAAATGACCCTGTCCCACATCACCAGGACAAGTGTTTAGCACCAGCATGCTGGTTGCCATGTCTGACACGTAGACATGGTTTAAGAGCCAGTAATGTTTCCTAAATTAAGCCTCAGCCAGAGCCAATCAACAATTTCAGATTCAAATCTATTTATATAGTTCCAGAGAGAAAAATATGGAGGTAGCTTAAGTAAGCAGTTACTTCACATGGGTACATATTTCCAAATACATACTGTTCCAGAGACTGCTTAAGAGAAAGCAGTAAAGTTATATGCAACTACAATAGTAACTTCTATTTTAAAATGTAGAGTTCTTTCATGCCAAACGTAAAGTGATAAAGATACATATAAACCTTATGTATATTTTGATTTTTCTATTGTATCAATAGAGTCCAAGATTCAGCTCAGCATTGTTAAAATGCATTATCACATTAACAAAATAATCAGAAGCATCTTTAAGTAAGTGTAGTAATCCTGAAAACCTGTACATACATAATTAACCAATACACCTGACTCGGCATATTTAAATTGGACAGTCATAGATATGAATTTCCTGGTCGTCTCCAACAGATACAATTTTGGAACCATTTCCATTGTATTTCACTCCCCAGACCTGCAAATAGAAAAGTGCAAACAATAGCTCATTAAAGTGGGTAACAAGATGCCATTGTTTCACATTTTAAGTAGTCACCAAGTAGCGGGGATGGTAGTTTAAATATATCAGTTCCACTACTAATGCAAAGCTGTTGAGATAACCAAGGCACAGTAGAGACTGCCATCTGTCTGAAAAAGGCACTAGCCTCACTTTCCATCTTCTGAACCCTAATATTGTCAAATACTATGAAAACCCAATAATCTTCCTACTGCACCCATCTAGCTGAATATACAGTTTGTTCCCCAACAGCCTGGATGAGTAAGGAATGAAAGGTGATATGTACAAAATGGTCATTCTAATGTGAATCAATTTCAACAAGTTTGGTTCTCTCAGTAACTGTGTTAGCTTATTCCATTCCAAGCCAAACTAGTTTATGGTAATTTCAGGAAAGGAAAGGAAAAAGAAACAAAGCATGAGAAATTCAAGGCTGAAAGGAAATGGAGGGTTGCACCAGGCTGAAGGATGGCCACCTTCAGCAGAAGGTAAACCCAGACAGCCAACTAATAACTTAAGTACTAATACAAACCCTAGAGAGGTTTGGTCAGTCCTTAAACTATTCCTAGTCATGTTACAAGGTCTAAGATAAAAAATTAAAAATAGCACATTAGCCTGCTATTGCCAAAAGGGCTCTGTCTTCAATAGTCTATTTTGGGAAGTCTTTGTCAGTTGCACCACCACTTTTCATTAACACTCCTCTCACACACCTGAAAGGGCATGACTGTGTGTTAGCCTCCTGAGAGCAAGACATCAATACAGACAGTTCTCAAAAAGAAAAAAAAAATCATTTATTTTACTTTTTTTAAAATTAGAACTCCGTTAATCCTCAGAGACTCCCTGGAAAACGGGGAAATTAGTAGAGTTGACAGCACAAATTACCAAGGAAGTGAAACCTGACTAATAGGGAAGAGAGGGTTGGTTTGTTTTTAATTATTTTATTTTCAATTAAATACACCCTCCTCTTTTTGGTTTGTTTTTGTTAACACAAATTCAAATGCCCAAAATGTTTGGGAGGAAAAAGGTTAGTTTGGTAAAGATTTAGCTCCAGCCTGGTCTCAAAGGCAACTACCACTTCAGTGAGAGCTCCAATTCCAAGAAGGCCTCCCAGCAAACGAGTTGATAATCCTGATTTTTGAGGAAAAACCTCAAGAAGAAATAAGCTTTAAGGATTTTTTCCTACATAATTAGGGAAAAAGACACCAACCCACTGCCTTTAACAGTCTATATTTTTTCCTTTACATTCAGAGCACACTCACCCTGTTTGCTATGAACCAAAATAGGAGGGTAGCAAAGATGTATTGATTTGATATAGACTGATGAGATTCCATTTCACCACCCTAGAGTGTGCCTCTTGATTGGGGCTGTAAAAAGTATTACAGTACTTAGAAAAGGTCAGCCTGGGAGCTTGGGGGGGGGGGGGGGGGGGGGGGAGGGAGCGAAATAGATTCTAGGATAGGGATTCTCAAATACCATCAAAGCTTTAAAATGTTAGTGCAGTATCCCAAGGGCTAGTGGTGAAATCCTGGCCCCACTGATTTCAATGGGCTTTTGACTTCAATGGAGCCTGGATTTCAATTAAAAAATGTAAGGACCTGCTTATAAAAAACACGTAGTTTGCAGCAAGACAGGGTGTAAATCAACCCCACCCTAGCCTGTTTCAAAACTGGAGTAGATTAAAGCGCACTAGGAAACTTCTGGTGTACGGCAGCAGGGTCCACACAGACACTTAGCGTGCAGCAAGTTCACACTCCAGCTTGCTGCAAACCTAAGCATTTGTAAGGACAAGCCCTAAGTGAAGGTTTCATACTAGTAAATCTATCTAGATAAGACGACTGCATATGAGAATTATACATGTTCTACATTCTTAATATACCTGATCCTGATGATCAAAGAAGGTATGAACACAGGTCCTTGTTCCAGCATCCCAAACTTTTACACTTTTGTCAGATGAACTGGAAAATATTTTAGATCAAATCTGAATTAGTAGCAATTTGATTATACTATAATTAAGAGACCAAAGATCTGATACTACAGTATTTAAAAAACAAAACAACCCCCCCCCCCTCAAAATTAGGGGGAAAGCAACAGAACAAATGAAGATCTACCAGCAGATTCTAGAAACAATGGCCTCAATTAGCAATTATTTTAATATGCACAGCGTGTAAAATAAATGAGAATTCCAAACACAGCAATCACCAATTCTCTGAAGCATATTAGTTAGCTAAAGAAAGCACAGTTGAGTAGACTCTCACTAGTCTGCACTGTTCCAAGGGTTAAGATTACCAAGATATCATTATTTTTACAATATACTATAGTACAATGGGATGAAGCATCAATTAAATAATGAGAAGCTAAGCTACAATCGTTAAAATAAATTAACATGCATTTTGAGAATCAATATCTTTGCCTTCAGTTAGGTATGTTCACTTACTTGCTACTTGACAAAAATTTAGGGCCAGATGATGATACCCTTATTTACATGCAGAAGTACCTCAACTGCAAAAGAAGCCCAACTGATGTCAATTAGATTGTTTGTATAAGGCACTATTATGTAAGTAAGGATATCAGTCTGGCCCATAGTAATTTAAAACAGATCTTTCACTCATTAATACAAGTTATCTAGGTTCGACTCTAAGTTATGTAGGTTAGTGTGATCAACCTCAATTTATAAATGGAAGATTAAGTTTCTTCATAAAAATCTACAAAAATTAAAAATGCTAAATACCTGGAAACAAAATGAGTATCATCTGGACAAAATGCCACATTTAATACCCAGGATCCATGACCACTTAGTGTGCCTGCCAAGTTTGCATGTTGTCTATGGGAGACAAAATGTTTAGTGTTAAGCCACCATATAATAAAAAAAATGCATTAACATTTCATGTGCTAATTTCAGGTAAGTTCTTGGGGGCTTAGGTCACAGTTATCTGAGACACAGCCTCTCCCCCAGTCAGGATGCTTGAACTAACAAGGCCTAGGATTTGAGCATAAAATACCTTTTCCTAGCTAAGTCAAAGGTAGGTAGTGATTTTGAGAGACGTTTCAGCAGAGGGGAAAGACAGAAGCCAGACTGGTGGAAATCAAAGAAAGCCCAGATAGCAGGAGGAAGAAGGTAGTGCCACAGAGAGTCAGGAGAGTGACAGACTACAGGAAAAGAGGGCAGCAATAAGGAGAAAGCCAAGGGCTTAAGTGGAGTGTGAAGACAATGAATGAGGCAGCATATCTTAGGCATGAAGCAGAAATTCTAAAGGTGGACCAAAAAAAAAAAAAAAAAAAAAAAAATAGAATGCAGGATAAGAATGAGGCTGGTAGGTATACTGAACTATCAAATATGGTAAGTGGGCATCAATTTTCTGAGCCAGATCTGCCATCCACATTTGTACCCTTTTAAAAGAGTCCAAGCTCACAGATTTAGTGTTTTACAGTTTAAAATGTCAGATTTTTAAAAAATAGTTAATTCAACTATACTGTTAAAGATAATTCCATACACCGGAATGCTTGGTTTGTTACTCCTGGTGGTATTCTGCGCCAAAAAATTAAAGGTTCTGCACACAATATTTTAACATTCTGCAAAATTCTGTATATTTTATTTGTCAAAATAACACAATATAATCACACCAGTTTCAATTATTTTTGGTCAGTTATTTCAAAATACCTGTCAGCAAGTACATCTGTAACAATACAGACAACAACAAAAATTCAGAAAATGTTTTTTGACAAATAGATTCCTTACTTGGCATATGAAAACAGAACTCTGAGTAATAATTCATTTAAACTACAATACAGAACCGTATTTTCCACACCCCTCAGAAGCAGAGCAAAGGCTTGGGGGAGTCAGGGGTAACAGAGGAGCTGAGGGAGAGGGAAGTAAATTGCTGGGAAGGAGCCTGGGTGTGAACTTGGAAGACTGTTGGGTATGGGTGGGAAAAGTATGGAACATTTTTGGGGGCGGGGGGGAGGGGGAGGGAGAGGGTAGGGTTACCATACGTCCGTTTTTTCCCGGACATGTCCGGCTTTTTGGTAATCAAACCCCCGTCCGGGGGGAATTGCCAAAAAGCCAAACATGTCCGGGAAAATACCGGCAGGGCACTTCCCCTCCCGCGGCTGCTCTGCTCCTCCCCTGACTCTTCGGCTCTGTTTAAGAGCCGAGCTGCCTGAGCGCTACCGGCTTCGGGCAGCCCCCTTGCCTCCGGACCCCAGCCGCCGGCCGGG